CTTTGGTGTCGTGTCATAGATGCGAAAAGAAGGCGAATTATGAAAATCGGCAGCATAATTTCGCTGGGATAAATGAAATAGACGAATGGTTTACTTGCCGTGATTTGGCTCAACATCGTCAAGATGCTATAGGATGGAGACGCTGTAATTCGGACGCAGCAAGAAAGCGATTTGTAAAGCAAACTGAAGTTAGATGGTCCGAATTATTGCGTTTACCATATTTCAATCCAATTCGGTTCATTACAATCGACCCGATGCACTGCTTGTTTCTGGGCATCGCAAAATGGATTGTAAGAAGACTTTGGATCGAAAATGGCGTATTAACAACACATATTTTGAAAACAGTTCAGAAAAAAATGGATGAATTTAAAGTTCCAGCTGACTTGGATCGAATCCCAGAAAAAGTCGATTGTGGAGATGGGTTTTCAAATTTTACTGCGGATCAATGGCGAATATTTTTTACAATATATGCAACGGTCTCTCTCTGGGAACATCTTTTTAAGAATGACCAGAAGATTCTTGTGAATTTTGTGAGAATTTGTTCAATTTCAGTAAGTCGAATTGTAGAAGTCGATTTCATGAGAGAGGCGCATCAGAGGCTAATTAACCTAGTGAAGTTGATAGAAGAAAATTACGGTCGTGATAAAATCACACCAAATTTACATTTATCACTTCACTTATGTGAATGCTCACTCGACTATGGACCTTTATATACATTCTGGTGTTTTTCCTTTGAGCGCATGAATGGCATGCTAGGTATAATATTTTAAATATTCTTGTTACTTTCTAAAATAATGCATTTTTATCAACTTTTGTTTAAAATAAATTTAGGTTCTTTTCTGAATAGCAGAAGGAAAATTGAACCGGAAATTATGCGCCGCCTGATGTTTGATAATCAAATCAGTAATATCATTAATTCCGGCGTGGAATCAAAGGGCCTAGATTTGATTAGTAATAGACCATCTGTTGGCTCTCTATCAGAAGCCAACCAATTTTCTGCTGATGAAATGAGGCGATTTTGGTTGACTTAAAGAAACATTCATGAATCGACCACAACAGGAAAAGAAGCATTTCCGGGCGAAATGCTCAGACCAGTATTTAACGATATTGTAATGTCAAGTGATATGCTTGACTTAATAGTTGAATACTACATGGCGAGCTACGAAACGATAGAATTTCGGAAACCATTTGGAGAGGGTGCAGAAGATTCGATAATAGTTCAAGTTAAAATGAATCAATTTGGAAGGTGCCGAATTGGTTCTGAAATATTCGGCTCTTCAATATCATCACGTCATGTAAAAAGCTCATTTATCTTGGCAAAATTTATGACAGAAAGTGGTGATATCGATTGCTATCCTGGACAAGTCCAATACTTTTTTACACATGCCATTAATTTGCCAGATGGGTTATCCGAACATAATCTAGCATTTATTCGCTGGTATAAACCTGCAGAATCATCAAATATTCGGTATCATTTCAGAGTTAGAGATGACGAAATATGCAATGTTGAATTATGGGGTACCGAGTTTTACCCAGAATCCCGCGACTGTATTATTCCAGTTCATCATATTCTTGGCCGATTTATACCAACGAAATACCGAATTTCAGGCAGGAGAAGTTCAAACGTCTATTTAGCGGTAAATCCAGTCAATAGAAAATTTCATATTCGCTGAAATTAGTATCTTTTTCGAACTTTATTTTGATGAAATGACATATAATTTCAAATAATACAAATATCGGAATTTATTAAATTTCAAAATAATACAAATTTCAAATAATACAAATATCGGAATTTATTAAATTTCAAAATATACAAATTTCAAATAATACAAATATCGGAATTTATTAAATTTCAAAATAATACAAATTTCAAATAATACAAATATCGAAATTTATTAAATGTTAAAACAATACAATACAAATATCGGAATTATTAAATGTCAAATTTACATATAATATAATTATCGGAATGTCGAAATATTATAATGTGCAAACATCGGAATTTGAAACAAATATCGGAATTTGCACCGCAAATTGGCTATGCCGAATGTCATCTGATATGCAGCCGATTATCGATCATATCCGAAATTTATCTAAAATTTGGCCGAAATTTGGCCGATTTGCCTTACTTCCGATTTGCCTTATTTCGACTAGTGTGATCAGACAGCCTATTCGCGTCTTTGTTGCTCCGCGTGCAATAAGTATTTTCCAACTTACTTATTTAACGAACCACAAAAAAACGTTGCATCCTGTCAGCCGTGGACGACCTAAAGGGAAATCTAGAGAACAAAATTCGAGAGTCCTTGACGATTTCTCTCTTCTTCCATCACAGCAAAAGCAACCTCTCTTTGACGAAACATATTTAAGAGATTGCATGTCAGATAAAGAATGATAGTCGTATATACTGAAAATTTTTTTAATAAAGCATGTATAAAATCTAAGCCACTAATATCACGTGATTTATAATAAACTGTGTAACCTAAGATACCCTGCCACCCACCCACCCCCTAAAATATTAGGTAATATATGTCCTGGCCCTAATTTAAATGACTAATATAAAAAGCAGAAAGGAAATAAACTTACAGGTATTTCTTTCGTAACAAACTTATCCATTTCACCAGTGCTTTCTGCTTCATGTTCAACTTTACTGGGATGTTTCCTTTATAAGTGTTTGTGAAGATTTGTTGTGTTTCCGCTAGCTCACTTATACTTAGCGCTTAATTATTTAAATTGACACAATTTTATATACAAAAATGATTAAAAATATATTACAAACAATATACTCATTCGCAGTAATTACATTGGGCTTTTGTTGATTCCTCAACCAACGTAAAATGAGACCTAACAGTACTAGTAGTTTGTGAAGAACCACCAGAACTTAAATTTTCAGTCATTTTAAACTGATTAACATATAAATTGGGAAGTTGTAATACTCGAAGGAAAAAAAATCGATATAATCGATATAAAAAAAAGATCGTTATGAATAATCTAAAAAAATTTACGTATTACGTATCGATTTCAATTTGGGTTACACGAGTTGAGTCAATTTCGATTTCAGATCAAAATCGACTCGACTCGTGATTAACTCGTGACTCGACTCGTCATATCAATTTGGGAAAATTATCAAATCGAACTTGACTTGACTTGACTTGACTCGACCAACTCGTGAGTCAACTTAACTCGTTTTGGAGCACTAATCATTGTGCTAATCCCAATAAGCTAATTAAATAATGTAGATCTGCAAATGGCTGATTCAAATCAATCCACAAATGGAAATCATGCCAGAACTTTTGAGCAAAAAAAAACATAATAGGCAAATTATGCCAGAACTTTCCAAATATCACTACCGGATTAATTATTGATCTGACACCATGATCTGACCCGCGATCTGACCCACGATCTGACCCTAAAGATTTGCAAAATATCTGACGGCATCTTGGCCTGGCTTCATTATTACAAAAATAGCACTCTGTTGATCGGCCATTATTACAAAAATAGGATATCTGGATCTAAAAATAAGAGTACTGCGTAAATAACAGGGCATAGTTAAATCACAGGAGATGACGTTTACATGATATCTACGTGATTTTGAAAGAAAATATACCTTTAGAAAATGATTATTTATCCTCGAGCTTCAGGACCTTTATTTTCGGCATTATTAAGCAAATCTACCACTTTTTCTGTGAATGTCACTTTGTGTAGTGTCGCAACTGACCTACGACTTAACCACCCTTTTTTACCCTCCCCTATTTGAATAATGAAATCCACTATGTGGTCGTCTATTTTATTTCTAAGATATTCTGCTTTAAAAATATGACCAGCTTGAATGGATGCTTCATGAAAGACCTTCGCATTAAATACCTCCTTCATTAAGCAGTGATATGCTTTTTCTCTTGGATCATCGCATTGGTTTTTGAGCTTAATCGAAAGATTAATAAAGTTATCAATCCAAGGCATGTTTTTTCGATCGTATGATAATACTTCGTGAACTTCATCGACTATGAGACCTTGACATACAAGTTCTCATAATTCCGTATCCGATACTATCATATCGTTGGAGTGAGATGATAATCCCTCTGGGATCGTTTCATTGGCTGATGATGAAGTTGCTGATTCCAAAATTTTACGGTTAAACGATATTGAGTATGATATATACCTCCCGATGTTGTATAGTATAGTTGACAAATATCTATACAGTATAGTTTTTATCCATACAGTATAATTTTTTATTTATTTTATATAGTATAGCTTTTATCTATACAGTATAGTTTTTTTATACTATACTATACACCATCGAAGGTATATATCATACTCAATAACTATATTATCGAAATTTTATATCTTTACATTTACTTGAAACAGTCTCACTCACATGTATACTTGTCGCCCATTACCCAAAAAAGGTTTAAACAATGATTCATAAGAATCATAGCCCTTCATGATGAGATGACGGAAAATAACTATTTTTAGAATTAATAAGTCATCTAACTATTACAATGATTATAACGTATTAATTAGTACTTAAAGGGTTAAAGATCAGCCTGATTATCAATCTAATCTCTTTCTTTTCCAAACTATTGTCCGATTATCAATCTAATCTCTTTCTTTTCCAAATTATTTGTATGGCAAGTTTATCAAAGCTCGACAATTGGTTGAACGATTATCATGAACAAATATGCAATCGACATGAGAATAGAAAGTATGAAGATATTGTCAAGTTCTCTGAAATTTGTACTAATACCCGAAGAATTAATGACATGCAAGCATCAATTTGGGAACTGTGCAGAGTGTGCGTGTTAGGAGATGCTAACCGGGCGGGAGAAAAATACAAGGCGAAACCGTGCAATTATATACTCCCTATCCATAGAAATGAAAACAATGCTCGCGATGAAACCATGTGCATTTTGCAAAAAACTAGCAGACGAGTTGAATCGAAGGGGCTGGGCGATGATAGTTCATGTATGATAGTTGATACGTTTGTTGACGAATCCGTCCGTCGCAATTTAGCATCTTCTATTTCGTATGATTTACCCACCAATAGCGCTGATCCAGAAAAGCTTGGCTGTTACTATAGATGCGTCGCAAAATTTGGATTTAACCATATTATTGTAATTGGAGGATTGTCATGTGGGTTGCTCTTTATTGATTGCTACAAACGGGTTTTTCAATGGGAGGATATGGAACAGGTGTTATGGCCAGTAGGGAATTCACTTGAAGATGTGATTCCATATGAAGATCTTGTCATATGGACTGTAGAAGATGGTGTCGTGTATGAAGAATCCAAAGGTATGTCCATAGGCATTGTTATTTATTTTAAAATTAATACTGTCATTTCTTGGCTGTGATTTAATAATGGGAGTAAAGATGTGGGATTTTTTTTTAATTAAGTTTCTTCTTTTTAGATTCTTTAATACCAGATTCTCTTAAAGAAAAAGGCACAAAAAAAGGCACAAAAAATAAACGCTCAAGGAAGAAAAAGAAAAAAAAATAACGGAATCAAGATGACTTTATATATTGCTTAAAGATCAGAAGATTAGAAACAAAAATAATATTAAATAATTTACTATTTTACATTGTAACAATTCTATATTCAAAACAAAAATGATATAATATCTGCTTGTAATTGCTAAATATATAATTTAATTCCCCTATCGAATTGCTAAATATATAATTTAATTCCCCTACTCAAATTATCGAATAAAATATTCGTGCTTGAAAATTGAAATATACAATTCAGAAAAATCTACTTCTCGTACGCCTTTAAACCATATAATATCCTGACATTAGCAGTGATTCCTGAGCCGAACGAACTGAAATTAATAATTATTACTTGTAAGCCAGCTAAATCAGTTTCTGAATACGCTATACTTTATAAACCTTTTTCATACCATGACACAATGTTTAGATATGCCTCAAGACTTTTATCTAAGACTTTCTTGTTGAACTCGATGATAAAGGGGGGCCGAAGTCATGATAGTGTAAAGATAGTCAAAATCATGGTACTGTATCATTTGTTTGAGAGAGAGGATATCAAAAGTATCGAATCATTTTGCGTCTGCACGTAATCATGCGAAAATTTATCTACAATTTAAATGTGGAGTTACATATATTAATTATAGAAGATCGAAGCTTTTGGATGCCTGATTAACAAATTCCTTAATTTTTCGTATCCTTTCTGGAACAACAATATCCAGTTTTTTGTCATACCATACTTCAAGAAGGAAAATTCCATTATCTTGACACATGCATCATTTTTTCCGATCACGATTAACAATATCTTCGAGTTTTTTAACATCCTTATACCAGCTAGTGCTATGAAGTCGATGCTGAGCCCCTTGCACCTCTAATGCAATTCGATATTTTTGGAAGAAAGCATCAAGCTCTAATCCATTTAAGAAAGGAGGGCGATATTCGATAATAGATTCCTCATTAAGAATTTCCTTAGCTATCTGGATACATCTAGTCTGGAATTTGCGATTTTTCTTATCTTCTCTCTCTGCCTGATCCTGCTCTAGTTTTAAAATTCTAGCATCTATTTCTGCCTGATCCTGCTTTAGTTTAGTGATCAATACTTCAAACCTAGCTTTCTCATCAGTTATCTTAGCCTCAAGTTCAGTGATCAATACTTTAAGATCAGATGACATGATAGATAATATTTTCATACACGAAAGAATTATTCAATGTTACATATACGTGGTAAATGTAAAATTGCTTTATTATTACATGCAAAAAAATAAATACAAATGTTCGGGACGTAGCCCGTGATACATGACGTCTATGCTAGTGTCCTATACAATTATTTTTTTCTTGATTATCTCTTCTACACGGCGCTTCTTATTTGCAGGTTCTTCACTAGCTGATACCCTATCTTTTAACAAACCCACTATAACCCCTAAAATCCTCTTCACATTCTTGCGCAAGTCGGTTGAGTCCTTGAGTGCGTCTTCAGTCAGAGAGATGCGATACTCAGTCTTGCTCGTACAATAGATAGCCTCGGTGCTATGTAGAATGAAATACCAGTCCGTGGCTAAGAAATTGTGAGAGTTAGTGATGCAAAAGCGAAACAGAAACCTTCACTAGAGTCATTTTCTCACCTGTTGTGACGATACCATAGACATATTCATACTCCTCGAATGCTTCAACAGCCGTACGCTTTTTCTTGAGCGTATCTAAGTTCATCTATGTTTACAGATGAGGATTTGTTAGTATTTTCTGATAGAAGGATAGTCGAATGGAGGCTAGACATAAAAAAGGTATTGCTTACTTCGCACGAACTTCGACATTGCATAAGGTTCTGAGCCACTCCTTTCCCTGGCTGGTTTTGCTTTCCTTCGGTTATGCATATTATTTCTTCGAGCAAATCATCCAGTATTTTCTTGATCGCATAATCTACACGGCCGGAACTTTCTTCACCAGATACATTCATCTGAGGCAAGATTACCAATCCTCCGAGGATGCTGACAGCAGTATGAAGGATTGTAGAAATGTATTCGCAACGCATAGCCTCATTACTATCTACGACTGGCCCCATGTTTTTTATCCTACGAAGAATGTCATCAATGCAGAGCTTAAGCTCTGGAGATTTTTCATCGATTGAGTGGGGAAAAAAAAATAAAAAAAAAAAAAATAAAAATAAAAAAAAAAAAAGGTTGGCATGTGCATAACTTACCTGGTGTGAACTGGGGGATGCTCGTTATACTACTACTCTTAATGCCGTATTTTTCTAACACTTCCTCCAAACTGCGGTATGAGGAAAACGCACGCTTCTTTTTCTCCTTACACTCCTTAGCGAAGTCCGCAAGCCTTGACGCAGGTCCTCCCTTCATGCCATAATCTCGAAAATCTTGCTTAGTCGCCTTGAGAAAGTCCCGGCCATTTATTCTCTCTTTCTCGATTATAATCTTCCGGTTCAAGCTCTAAGTCCTCTTCCTTATGCAAGAAATCTATAAGCTCTTTCGTTTTATATTTTTTAATTTCGTCCGCCAACGAGACTGTCTCATTTCCAGCAACAGTAGTAGAGGTGGAAGCTGGAGTAAAAGGTGTACTAGTTTCAGACATAGTGTTACGTTTTTATAGGGATATTGGGCTCGGATAAAAAAAAATAGTGTTACGTTCCGGAGTGAAATAAAAATTTACTTCTGGGAAAAGCAAGCGTTAATATATGATTTTATGTAGCACAGGCATTGCATCATCACACGTGACCCGTTTCTCATATACGTTCGATAAAATAATACTTTATTTATGAAATAAAACGTTGCCGGAACCCGGCCTACAATACATAAAAATTGCGACTATATCGCATACTAGTTATAATAACCATATACATCCTCCTCTACAAGAATATGGCAAACGTCCGCAGTGAGATTCTCATCGAAAAAATCAGAAATCAAGCTCCCTTCTCGCATAGCAACGTATTTTACAGGTCCAAGGCGATATGCGCGAAGATAAAATGGAACGTTTCTGAATGGCTGTGGTAGCAGTTGCTGAATCTGAGTGTGGAGGTTTCTGACCGCATTTCCAAGAGGGATTGTAACTATTAGAGTGACATTATTGTTTGGAATTCCAGTGAAGCGACCGGTGGGAATTATAAGGCAGTTGAGAGTAATATTGGCCATATTTTCGTTTTCTGGAATGTAAGGGCTCGTTGTGAGAAATTGTCGCTTGCAGTAAACATGACTTCTGGCATATACATACCTCAATTATTTTTGCGGAAAGTTGGCTGAACTTCCACGTACCTCTACATGCTTTATATCTTGCTGGGAAAAAAGAGCGCCAAGCCGAAGTTAAGGAGATAAGAATAGTGATTAGCATTGTCGTATGATGCCAAGAGTTCTATGAAGGCACTTGCAAATGGAATCTTCATACCTTTTCACATGGAGATCTACCGGAAACACATATAGTTGGCTTTACGCCTGGCGATCTCGAAATTCTAAAGTCCTCAGCCCTTCATAGCATATGTTTTTGCCGTAACTATTTACTTTTGGAGTTGGTCCTGTGTTGCATGTAGACCTCCTTTCACATTTTTCTCATGATTGTTCAGGAAAAAATAAAGAATAAAGGTTAATATGTTTTTTCCATATATATGCGAAAATTAATATGTCGTACAAGACCTGACTGATGATCCACTTATTTTTGTCGCACAGGAGTGGCCCAGCAAATTCTTCCGAGCTGGTGATCCGGGTTGATGATCAGTATTCCGGACTCGGCCCTTAAGGCGCTTCGCTAAATTTTCCGCATTAAATATATTACTTTATTATAGCAATCATGGCAAATAATAATCCCGAAACGCTTGCTCAGTTTTATGGACTGTTTTTATATAAGAAGAAGGATATAATAGCTATTCAGGAGAAACTCGGTATTGGCCCTGGCAATGCAAATGAATTAGTAGTGCCTCCAGATTCCGAGCTCATGGGGAAAACACTTGCCGATTCTTACGAGCTGTTGTTAGAATTGGTAGGGGATTTAATACCGATTCAGGAGAAACTCAACATTGATGGTAATCCCATTCTAGAAGAGGCACTCCGAAGCAATAAAGCTTCTACGGATATTCCATTTGGTGAAATATTTAATTTGTTTATGTGTTTGGAAGAGGATATAATAGCAATTCAGGATAAACTCGACATTGTTGGCTATTCTAATCAAGAAAGGGAGGAAGAAGTTGATGAAAATATAAGAGAATATCTCAGGAAGCTTAAGGAGTTTCATGGTCCCTTAGAGGATGATCCAGGTGTGATATTTCCGAAATATGGTGAAATGAGTGTAAAGAAAATTATGTTTACTGGAGAGGGGCTTCCATTATTTCCGAAGCTCTCTCCTCAACAATTGCACGAAATATTCGTCAAAAATCCATCTAGTGCCGGTCAATGCCCATGTCTAGAACAGGTTAGCTAATCTATATTTTTTATCACACAGGGCGCAAAAAAATCTTCCGAGCCACTCAGGGTTGATGATCATTGTAGGATCGGACTAAAAAAATCCTGCCTCATTTCTTCCCTTCGATCAAAGATCTTCAGGGTGGATAGCTATATATCAAATTAAGAAAAAACTATTCAGAACCATATTCACATTACCACCTCAAAGTTCTATGAATGAGGGGGATTTTAGAAACCAGCTAACATTGAATCTATTTCTGCTATCTGTCCATTGAAAGGGTTATAATCATCATTTTTAGGCTGAGATACCAGGCTTGGTGAATTTTCAGAATCAGATATGGGCTCCTTCGATTCTGGATCACCTAAAGCGTAATTTTTCCCCACATCAAGATGGTTAATTTTATGTCTTAATGCGATTTCTGAAAGATTGTCAAGATGTTGAGGGGTTGGATTTGGACCGGCATGAACCATCGAGGCATGTTTAGCTCCTATTTTTCTTAGAAGCTCAGGGGTAATCTCATCTTTGTCCTGATTAGTTTTTAAACTCTTTATAAATTTGGCAAATGGCACATTATTACGCTTTCCAGTTTCAGTATAAACTGGATCACGCAACTTCCCAGCTTTAATAGCGTCTTGAATCCAGGTAAGTAATTCCCTAGCACGTTCTGGATCCTTTTCCATAGAGAGTAAGCGCATAGGCATCGGTTTATCTCTTTGTTTGTGACATCCAGTGCAATACCAAGAATAACCAGCTTTATACCACGCTGGCAGATCTTTGGAATCTAGTTTGTAATTAATAATCTAGAGAGATGATACTTCAGCAGGCCTCATGCTCAACATCACTATCACATTCGCGAGATCCTGCATAGAGGGAATTTTAGAAGTATCAATATTCTGGAGTCTCCTAAGCACTTTCTCAAAGGTGAAATGTTCTGGAGTTCTACCTGGATTAGCCAAGTACTTCTCAGTCCGCTCTTGCTGGATTTTGTTGGAAGCTGTAGTAGTCTTTGAATCTTTGGCATAGCGATCAATAAGTTCACGATCGGCCCCATACTCTGCTAAATACTTACAAAATCGTGATTAGTTTGAGCTAGAAGCAACCATTTCCTTATCATCAATTACTCCATCCTTATTTCCTTTTGGTCCCAAAGATAAAGTATTAATGAAAATATCCCACTTATCTTCACTTTTAGCGACTTCTTGGGCCCTTTTCCTGACAGAATATATCTTATTTCTCTGATCTGGCATGAGAGCCCCTATCTGCTCTTTGCTAAATGCACTTTTTTTTCAGTGCCTCTTGTAAGGGCTTCCTTAACGCACTTACGGGCCTTCCAATCTGGAAGTAAAGCATTAAGTTCAGAAGCATGTTTGCTTAATTGTTCTGGAGTTGACTTAGCAGATAAGTTATATCTTTCTAAGAACTGTTCTAGAATCAAAACGAATTTATTAGTTTTTGCTTTTTGGGCCTTTTGGATGGGTTCTGCAGTAGACATGTCGATATAAGTAGACTTCAGTTGTTTCTTCTACTTATATTATGTGAGAAAAAATTCAATTCGAAAAATTTTCCTAATTATAGATTTCGGGATACTATATAGCAAAGGGTTGAAGGAAGGAAAAAATAATAATATATCTTACACAGTCCTAGAGACTAGCTTTGGCCAGTATTGAACGTGAAAGATATGTAACACATTTTTAAATATCTATAATAAAAGTGAAGATGAAGTTTTAAGATTATTAATATCAAAATTACCTCGTATGAGTCACTTTATCTGCGAATACATCAAGAGAGATGGTTCAATCTGTGGAAAAGGAAGCATGAGTGAATTAGGATGCGCCAGACATTATAATGCCTTTCTTCGAACAATATGTCCTGTCTGTAAAAAGGGAACCTATTCCGATACTGGAATCTGTAGCACGCATAGTGGAATTTATGACCGTGCTTGGCATGAAAATAAAAAAAATAAAACAGAATCAGCGGGTTTACAAAGTAAACACGTCACCATCTGATGTAGTTAAGATACTTATCTGAATAATGAATGATCTGGGCTGAAGTATTATTTCTCCTGTCCTATAGAATCGAAGAGTTCCTGAATATCGTTATCTGTTTTTAGCCTATATGGTGAAAGTTCTGGTGCACCTTTATCTCCAAAACCAGTACTATTATATGGCTGACAATTAATTCGATATGAGTATTGCCAAACTTGTTGTCCCTTAGGCCCTATTTTTTTTTATCACTTTTAATAGTATAGCCACACCAATTACCAGCAATTGCATTGATTGCCTTTATAGTCAAATTAAGATCTGGTGTTGTCTTAGCATGAGACTTAAAGCCAAAGAGTGATAAAGACTGATTTCGAATTTCTATAAATCTTTCATATGATTGCGTAAATGCCTCTGATACCATACTACCAGAAAGGATATGCTTGTCATTAATACCAGTAAGCCTAGTATTTGAAAAAGTTCTTGTATAACTTTCCAATGATTTGCTGAATAAGATTTACGCAAGTCTTCTGCCACTGATTTTTCCAGATTCTCTTCAGCTCTATAGCAGGCAATTTCCCATTGTATATTTTCCTCAGCTTTCAATCCCTTTATTGCATTCTCTTCATCATAACCTTGCCTTCGAAAATAAAACAATCGTAAGAAATGCTTCCGAGCTTTAGGCGAACTAAAATTTTCAACAAATTTTCTATTGCAAATATTATTCCAATCTTCGATATTCATGTCCTTGCAATAAAGATTCTGCATATAAAAACATTTAAGTACTATAGTATCTGCGATAGAGCGCTCTTGATCGAATTTAAGGACTTCAGCTTTTTCAAGGCTAAGATTCTGGGAAGTAGTAACTGCATTAAAATCTGTTTCTTTAATAACTAATGCTTCAACTCTAACTTCATTACGGATTCTTTTATGGTTTCCTATAACTTCTCAAACTCTCATCCATTTTTATTAGTTGGAGAGAAGCACCGGTACTGACTATAAGACTACAAAGCTTCTCAATAAAATATCTCGCAGAAAGACGTTTCTGATGCTCAACTTCAATAAAAGTTATTACAGCTGGAGACTCATCAACTTTATAAGAAATGGTATTATTATTCCATTCACGATGACCCTTTATTGCTATAGGTAAGTTATTAGGCCGAGCACTAGTAAGTTCTGCCCAAATATTTTCATGACCTGGCGGGTAAAAAAGCTCATTAGAATTTTTCTGATAGAACAAAGAAACAATACGACGAGGACAGTCACGAATTCGATAAAGCATTTGTGCAAGAGCCTTAACATGAACTGGAGTGGCGATGTTTGTAATAGCTATAACTATATCAAAGTGACCTGTAACCTCGAATGATATTCCCGTCTCCACTGTATTTGTATAAGCTATACAGTCAAGCTCACTCTAAGCGACATTAATATCAGAAAAGTCTTTTTGTCGCTGTTTTCCATCCATATCCCTATAATATGCACGGGCTCTAACAGGTGAATTATCAGACTTAAACAACTTAGATGCTTTTTCTACTAATGCTCTAGCCATCACCGCTCCGGTAGATATAAATGCCACACGTTTACCCTGCCTCAAAAGGTCATATTATATTCGCATGGCTTCTGCTTTACTATTTGAATCATAAATAAATTCAACCGTCTCACCTACACGAGGCTGGTATCTATTATCAATTATGTAAATACCTTCCCCACGATATATCTTAAGGAATGCTAATATTGATTTATTTGCAAAGGCATCCATGGCCAAAATATGTCTCGCAGATCTTAAGACATCATGCATTGCGTTTTCAGATTCCCGTGCATTTGTACTGCTAGAAATTTGACGCATAATGGCATTGGCTTCATCGAGAATAGCCACAAATGGACGGACTGAGAACTTGATATGAAACAGACTCTCAACCTGTACTATGTCCCGCTCATTTATAGATAAGTCTCCTTGCATATTTTGGTAGTTGCAAATTCAAAAGCCAGATGCTTTTAATTCATTAAGTTTGGATTTTGATTCATTGCTAAGAGACTTTCGGTAAGAGATCCAGATATAACATGGTAAAGAAGAAATATCATGTACTTTATCTTTCAATGCCATAATAATCTCTCTTAATGCAGTAGTTTATTTTCCATGTCCCTGGGGGAGAACGAATAAGAGTAGTTGTTTTCTCAATACTCAAGAAATTGGGATATACTTCTGGAGCATCCTTTAATTTTTCTACATTAATTATCATTTCTGATAATTCTACAAGAGGACGTGGATTTGATATAGCATCACCTATTCTTTTGACTATTCCTCTCTTAGGTTTTGCAGAAATTTCAATTACTTTTCCAAATATTAATTCCTTATGATTGGGTTTGTACTGTTTCTGCCAGTAGCATTTAAGTATGAAGCACCCATTACTTCGAAGAAATCCATATATCTGATCCTTTTCATGTTTAATTTCGCAGATAGGACATGCTTTATATGACTTCGCTTGGAAGTTGACAAATCCCTTCTTAATGCTACCAATCTCAAGCCATCCAAATTTTGCTGTAACTAAGCCAGCTCCCGTGTTTAAAGCGGTTTTATCTTCGATGGGTTGGAACTCTTCTTTTTCTAGTTTCTCAAAAGAAAAAGTTCGGGGCCAGATTTCAGAAGCATCTAATTTAGGCTGAACTAAATAATCTTTTAACTTGCAATATCCTTCCTTGATTAAAGAAATCACAGGTCTTTTGACTCTATCTTCTTTTGCTAATCCAAGGAGCCGAAGACTGAAGCGTGATTTATAAAGCCCAAGGTCAATGAATTCAGAGTATAGTTTTCCAACCCTATCAGCAACTTTTTCTACAAAACCCCTAAGGTCCCTATAGTCAATAAAACGGGCATAAGGATACACGATATGCCAACTGCATTTATCAGTATTAGACGAACTAGCCAAGGTAAAAGCATTTAAATTTATGAAATGTTTTAAGCCAAAGTATATAATATCGGCGCAGGCAATTAAGATCTTGGATAATAAATCTTCGCGAGTAATTTTATATTTATCTAAAGAAGGGAGTTCAGGATTCATTAGATCAGGCTTTTGCCTTGCGTCAATATCCAAAACTAGGCGAAGAGGCAGATTTCCATCAATGCACTCATGGGTATCGGGTAACCCATAAACTTCAGATGGATGATTAACTACTGTAAAACCCTTTCCTGCCACCTGAACTATATATTTTGAATAAATCTCTTCAGGATGATAGATGCCTAGAAGAGAGATGTCATTTTTATTATTAGACAAATATTGAAAATACATATGATCATCATAACCAGACTCAAAATCAAGGTCCGCTAAACCAGAAAAGAGTCTAGTTGCTTGTTTTATTACTTCAGGGCGAGGCCTGGGCTTTTTTTGCGCAAGTAGCATGGTAGTATATGTAAGAAACTAGTATAAAATTACATAGAAACTTGTAAATCTTCAAAATAAAAAATATATGTGATCGAATCTAACAATAATGCAGTAGTACCGATATGGTAGTACCCAAAAGTAATACCTAAAAACAATCGATGCAATATTACCCAAAAGTATCCTTTCATAGCAACTATACAAAAAAGAGTTCTAGAAAGGCAGGAGCGAAGAATAAGATATAAAATTGGTAGTAACCCAAGTTAGAATAATATATAGAAAGAAAATAAGAAATTACAACTTAGGATACTACCGGCGATAGGTAGGAAATAGGTCGGAAAGACAGAAAGGTTCAGGAGAATACACGAAAAAAGGATATGAAAGCTGTATAGCCTGAACTAATTTGGCACTTCAAGCCTCATCCTCGGCAATCAAAAGGGTTATGGAAGGCAGGATTGCGCATCTGGGTTAAAGCTGCCGCCCGAAATTATTTCCTAATTCCGAAATAATTTCGGCCAGAATTTTATTTCTGAAACTAATTCTGAAATTCTGAAATTCTTCTGAAATCCCGAAATCTTTCTGAAACTCCCAAAATTGTCCGAAACTTCTCATTGGCCTATTATAAAATCACATGACTTTATAAATTTGCTAAAATTTTATCTGTATTCTAATTCCACAATTCTGGCTTCGTAGCAATCTTCCTGACACGTGTAGCTTCGTTTTAAGCCTATATTCACTTTGTGTAACATCAGTGCATAAAGATGCATAATTTCCTTATATGGGGCATGGCTAAAGCGGGGCAGGGCTGCAGTGGCTCAAAAAATTTTGTACCAGATTCTCCCGACGGCACATAGCGGGAAAATATTTACCCATAGTGGCACAGCTCGTCACAACAGTGTCGCTGTGGCGTGGCAGGGCCGGTCCTTCGTGACGGTGAGGCTCGTGCCAGCACTCGCCACACCCACGAACGACCTCCCAAGCTCAGTCACGGCTCAACGTTATGCTGGCTGTGCGCCACGGGTAAATATTTTACCGCACGTGCCACATCGGGGGAATCTGGAAAATTTTTTGAGCCACATTAGCTCCGCTTTAGCCGTGCCCTTATATGGTATATACATTACACAAAGTGAACATAGGCTTAAATCGAAGCTACACATGTCAGGAAGATCGCTACGGAGCCAGAATTATGGTATTAGAATACAGTTATAATTTTGGTAAAAATTTTAATTTGGTCACGTGATATTAAAACAGCTAATCAGAATTTCAGAATAGTTTTGGCATTTCAGAATTAAGTATTTTTCCTAAATTAATTTTACCATTTCGGTTTCGGCAAATGGTAAAATTCTCTAATTTTGGGTGGCAGCTTTAATCTGGGTCACCAACTCGGCACTTCGTGCCTCATCTGGCAATCAAAGAGATCATAAAAGGCGGGATTGCACATCTGGGTCACCAACTCGGCACTTCGTGCCTCATCTAGCAATCAAATGGGCATCTTCAAACCTCCAACTAACCACCACCTCAAATGTGACGGGAAGGTGATGGGGAAGAGCCCGCAACCTAAGCCAGAAATGTTCTGGAAATATTCTCATCACTAGCCCGTAACTATAAAAGGGTGTTCGGTGCCGTAACAGGATCACGTAACTGGCACAGTAAAGCGCAGTACAAATTCAGCATCCAAGCTGGCCTGAAACTGGCAAACTAATAGAAACACTCAGGTTTCCAGTCAGTTCCATGACAGCTCCAGGATACTACCAGGACGCTATCAGGACGCTACCATGGCATTAATTTCCAAAGATCGGCCAAAATTATGGTATAAAGCCAGCCAAAATCTGAACTGCAAATTTACTGCGCCACCTGACGATTTTTTTACACCATTTCAGCAACTTAAAAGGCCAGCAAATGGGCCACATCCTCGACCTCAAATATGGCAACCAAAAGGGTCAAAGAGTGGAAAAACCAACTTTACTCCTATATAATTGTTAAAAGGCTTCAGAATGGAAAAACAAACCTCTGCTCTGCTTAGCGACCAAACAGTCACAGATCAGTGAAAACAGATGGATAGCAATAAAGCATCAGAAGGGCATAGACATTGTAAACGGTCGAATATCAAGCACGAAATAGTGTTTGGAATCAAATATATTCGAATATACTCGAGTATTCATTTAAATTTATAAAGTGTATTCGAATAATATTCAAATAAGTTAAATTTCCTTTTATAGTAATGATTTACATAATTTTTAGCCTGAATTATGATTTTAACTCAGTTAAATTTAAGGATTTAATGCACAATTAAAATTTTAACTATACTATATCTGGCTAAATGAATACTCGAATAACCACTATGCTTATTCGAATACTTGAATATACTCGAGTTATTCGAATAACTGTTACATGATTCCAAACACTAGCACGAAAAAATGATAAAATTCAATCACCAAATATAATTACCAAATATTAAGAACGAACAAATTAATTATGAATTGACGTAAAAGGATAAATGATTAGCCGAAAAAGGATAAACATTTAGGAAGAGTAATGATCTACACAATGTAATATTTATCGAATGATTGACAAAGAACAAATAGAATAATTAGGGTCGATCAATTGCGGCTTAGCAATCTTTAACAATAAGAACAACTAGAAAGAATAATTATAAGCCACAAAAGATAGATTATAAGCAAAACACATAAAGCGAATTGAAAGAACATATAAAATAATATCAGAAAGATTAAAGAACATAAAATAATATAAATGATAATATAAAAAGATAGTATAAAGATGAAATATAAAAGATAACATATTAAAAAGAACATATATAAAAAGATAGCATATTAAAAGATAGCATATTTAAAATATAGATAGCATATTAGAAAGATAGTTCAAAGATAATATGTAAAAAGAACATAAAAGATAGTATATAGATAGAATAGAAAGTAGCATAAAATTTGTATAAATAGAGAGCGGAATTCAAAGTAATTCCACAGTTCTCATCCACAGAACTCAATAAAAATATAAGTTTCATTTAATTATTTGTTAGTAAAGTTTAATATTAATTAGAGGTAATAGGTTCGCCCTAAACTTTAATTAATGTTTACTTAATTAATTTTAATTGAATAAAATAAAATCTTAAGATGAATTAAATATACATTTTTGAAAAGTAATAATTCGTAGCGAGAGCTATCGAAGTTTGAAATTAAAGGTAAAAGTGGATATAATTTGGGAAAATTTATTAGAGAAGTTAATTTTATTTTATATCGCTTGATGTTTTATATTACTAACGTTATTTATGTCGTGAACCAAGAATGTTGTTATATGTTGTTGTATATTGTTCATTGATTATGTTGTTTGTTAATTATGTCGTTGATTAATTGTTCGTTCGTTTAATTGTTCGTTTGTTCGATTATTCGTTCGTTCGACCATGAGAATGCCCGTTCGATGTGGCAACTCTGTAAATTGATGACAGAGGGAATTGGGGGATCTTAACATGTAAAAATAAGTAAGTATGCATCAATATCTATAAGTAAGCATCACTATGGTGTAAGTAGATAAATTAAGTAGACATCACTATATATATAGTGATGTCTACTTAATCTATCTATTATTGTCAATTTTCCATAAATCGGAAGTGCATATTTGAATATTAGGCAAATTTTAGATTGATTTGCCATTTGTCTGATTTTTTTTGATTTCAACTAGCATCAATTAGCCATTAATCAAATATAATGATTTTTTGCTGGATTTTTATTAAATTGTCTGATTGGCATCAATCAGATATGCCGATTTGTAATGTTAGTTGATTTTGGTCTGATTTTTAGCTGATTTTTCATATGTCCAATTTTTTTGATTTTGACCAGTGTATGGTAAGACATTGGGTTACGGCAAGCAAAGGCTGGAATTTTGAACTTAACCAAGACAGTAAACGAATTGGCTTAGGCAGAAAAGCCTTTTATCCTGAGGCTGAAGAAAAGCTGTATACTTGGCTTATTGAATAAAGATTGGCTGTTACTTATACAATTTTATGAATTAAAATGCAAAATATCCTGAAAGAGCGTGAAATGATAACTTTATATGGTGGTTCAGCAAAAGAATTTAAAACTTCATGTTAGTAGATATCCTTCTTTATAAAAAGATATAAGCTATTCTGGAGATGACGCACAAAGATTTTCCAGAAGCTACCAAGTCAAACAGAAGAAACTTTGGCTAAATTTCATCAATTTATTAATAACTTGAAAACCAGAAAATCTTTTGACTTATGCAATATTTTCAATATGGACGAAACCCTGGTGTGGTTTAATATGGTGAGTAATTTTACTATTGATCAAAAAGGGGAAAAAACTGTTCAGATCTGCAGCACTGGTAATGACAAAAACTGATTTACAGTGGTTTTGACATGTACTGCAGGTAGTATCTTTTTTTTTCAATTTTATGATGAGAAACTTTTAAATTTTACAAAAATTCATGATTCCAATTTACAGATAGAACCAAGCTTCCTCTGATCTGTATCTTTAAAGGTAAGCGATTATCAAAAGGTAAAAAAATACCTTCCAGAATAGTAGTATAGTTTTAAGATAAAGGTTGGATGGATAGTGAATTGATGAATGGGTATATTGATTATCTAGGTGATGAAATTAACAAGAGAACTGGAGCCAGAGCTCCAAAGTTAATGGTTTATAATTCTTTTTGAGGACATTTAGAGAAATCAGTAAAAGAGAAATTCTGTGATTATGGATTTGATTTAGGCATTATACCAGATGGCCTAACAAGTTTATGTCAGCCACTTGATGTTGTGATAAATAAACCATTTAAAGCAAACTTACGTAAGGAATGGCACCTGTAGATGGCTGCTGGTGGTGCTGGATAAACAGATAAAGGTAACCTTCGACATGCCAAATTCAGTGATGTGTGTGAATGGGTGAAACGTTCTTGGGATGGGAATTTCTGATGAGATCATCATAGATTCTTTTAAAACTTGTGGTATCTCAAACGCTTTGGACGAAGTAGAGGATTTTGATAATGAAATTATTGATATTAGTGATGATGATCTGGAGGATGGTATTAATGATAATTTGGAAAACGATGTTAGTGATGACAATTTGGAGGATGACATAAGCTGTGATTATTCGGACATTGGTATAAATGAATAGATAAAGTAATAATTTTGTATCATTTAATAAAGTTGATAAAGTTAATCGATTTGTAATTATAACATTTATAATGTTTAAATAATAAAAAACTTCAATTTTTTGGGGGTGCTTATTTTTAGTATATATATATAATGTGGGGGTGCTTAATTTCGGGATTATACGGTAACACAATTTCCATATATTTTACATTTTTACAATCCTAACTTCCCTTTAAACATGAATCCTTGTCCCTAAAGGAAAGTGTCAATTATCAGCAATTTCCAGAGGAAATCTTAGGAAATTCTCAATTATAAAGGTAGTTTGCTTATATAAAAGTATTTATGTTACACAAGTTTCATCACTCACTTATAAGCAAACTATTTGAATAATTGATAATTTCTTGAGATTTCCTCCGGAAATCACTAGCAATCGGACCTTTTCTACAAAGTTATTCAGAAAAATTCCAGGTTTTCCACATTTGTGAAAACTGATTTCCTTAGGGGGTGACATGCAGGGGGTCGCACTAATTTGAAAACAGCGATAAAAAAAATTCTTAACGAAATTCTCTATCAAAAAAAAAATCTCACTTGTTAAAAAAATTTTCTAACGAAATTATCCATCAAAAAAAACTCAGACTTTTTTTTTATTAAAAAAATTCCCAAAGAAATTCTATCAAACAAAAAATAAAAATTCTCTACAAAATTTTCTTAAAAAAGAAAAGCCAGTAAAAAAAAAAAATTATTCGTGTAAAACAAAAAAAAATTTTTTTTAAAACTACGCTAAACTTAAAAACATGTGATCGACAAAATATCAACCCTGTGCTGACAAAGAAACTAATTTTTGACAAAGATAAAATTATCGAGTATAGTCGGATTAAATCAAACACAGTTGGACAAAAACATCAAGCACAGACGGACAAAAATATCAAGCACAGATGGATAATAATATCAAGCACAGATGGATAAAAACATAAAGCACGGACAGATAAAAATGGGGTCTTCACAAAAACGTGATTGAGATTGAGATTGAAATTTAGTATAGAATTTCAATCTTACTAACATATTAAGATTGAAAATTCTATATGAAATCTCAATCTCAATCTCAATCACGTTTTTTGTGAAGACCCCCAATGCCAAGCATGGTCGGATAAAACCATCAAGCACGTACAGATAAAAACATCAAATAAACATCAAGCACATACAGATAAAACATCAAGCACGTACAGATAAAACATCAAGCACGTACAGATAAACATCAAGCATAAACAGATAAAAATATCAAGCATGTGATAGATAAATATCAAGCATGAACAGATAAAATATCAAGCACTACAGATAAATATCAAGCACATGCTTGATTTTTCACCCGCCCAATGCCTGATAGTTTAGTCCAACTCGGCTTGCCATAGAATAAGTAGCGCTTGTAGTTTCTTAACGGTATTAGTAATAAAAATTATATTTTGTGGGTGAAATTTAACCGTGTTGCACGCGTAACTCGTTATGTTTTTCTTGTCCCGAACTTCGTATTTATTTTTCGCATGTATTAATAAAAATTTTTCTTGGCAAAAGTGATCGGCATAACAAATTGTCACGCCGAACTTGAAATGTGTGACGGCAACAAATTGCATATTTGAATGAATACCTATTTTCAGCAACTGAGATGTAAATAAAGTACAAGATTCTTACGTATATATATGCACAGTATGCTGTCGATATGTGCTGTACTTTCTTTACATCTTGGGAGTATAAATTTTATTTCTCCATATTGTTTACAGTTAATTTTCGGACTTATCTAATCATTAGTGTTTCAATTAAAATGGGTTCTAAGCGTCTCGTTTTTTTGCTGCTCTTATTTTTTGTTTCCATTGTTTCTCCCGCTTGCACCACATTTAGTACCACATGCGACTATCAAACCGCATGTGCATGCCCTAAGAGCAATCCCCAGGGCACATACTGTGGTAGTGACATTGGTAAGCATGGGTCATTTTTGTATTTGTATATATATCATGGCTTGTTTCTTATCAACTTTAACATTTTGGTTTCATTTCAGGATGTGATCATACTCATGTTTATGAATGTAATCCTAACGGTGGAGAATGTACAACTTGTGATTATGGTCTTCGTTTTTCCTGCGCGAATTGCGGAAAATTAGCTTGTCCAAAAGCTCCACCACCACCTCCACCACAAAAACAACCAAATGAACCAGTAAAACAGCCAACAAAGACACCAGAAACCAAACCGCCAAGCCTTCCTCCAGCTGTTTGTAGTAACCCTATAACGCGAAATTTTGTTACGGATTTCTGTATTTTTGTTGGTACGCAGACAATGGTATTAGTTACAACAGGTTGGACGATTGGTGAAATTACTGCAACTTGCGTTGCGGTAGCAGCTCCATTTGCATTAGAAACTTTAGGTGGATCTGAGAGTATATGTCTTCTTGTAGTCTTTCTTGCAACTGAAGCAGTAGCTGCAGGTCTTGTAGATCCAGCATGTAATAATATTTGCTAATTATGATTATGAACAACTCTTTCTTATTTTATGTATCAGTTGCTGTTACGAATAAATAAAGTACCATTTTGTATGTAATCTGATACTCGCTAGGCCATGTGACGTCTTCTATAGTCGCAGTATATCACCTATAAAAACATTTGGCGTAGTTTGCTTGAGTCCTGATTTTTTTTGCTCGAAAGTTCTATTAGCAGTCGGTCAAGAAATTTATCATGCTTTTCCCGAAAGTTCTGGCGTGTTTACATTTGATTAAAGTAGCTCATCTACTGCATTACAGATCTTATTTACAATGAAAAAGGGCAATAGCATTCATTGTATGATATGAATTACCGTTTTTGGGCGCTCCGAAAGTATTTTGCGCATCAAAGCCAGAAATTACGTGTTATGATCATCTACTGCGTCTCAAATCACGATCGGCTCCTGATCTCATACAAAACAGTAATTGCCTTTAAACAGTAATGATAATAGGATTCGAGTGTAATACATCCCATCGTACCATGGAATAGAATTGCGTAGCTCATTAATTTTTTCCTGAAAGTTCCAAGCTTTGCAATATATATATATAATATTACTAATTATGCCCTGCTTTACATTTTGCAGATCCTGCGGTGAAATGAACTGGGATCGCGCGGAGAAATATTTTACGTTGATCTGTCTCTCAAAAAACCGTAATACAACGGTATTTCTTTTAAGAATATATGATGCCATTATTAATCCGGATTGATCCGTTGATTAGCATCACAACATTTTTCTATTATTTTTGTCAAACTGTCAGATTTAAAAAAATTATTCTTCCACAAATTTTATTAATTTTGGCCAAACTTATAGCTCCAACTCAAATAAACCGATGCCAAACCGTAGTAAACCGCGGATCGATCCGTTAAAAACCCATCCGGATCGAAGCACTATTTATTACAGTATTTGATGAAAATCGAGAGAACATATAAAAATGTAATAACTTAAACTGCCGTCTCAACTAATTAAATCGGGTTAAATCCTAGTTTCTTGTGCAGTATAAAAGAAATCCTTTCCAGTGCGTTTACGCAAAAATACAATCTTTAACTGTTATTATCTAAAGCAAAAAAGCTCTAACGAAACATTGTTTCATCAGTAAACATATTTCTCAATAAACTTTACCACGCATTGCTTATTTAAAATGACCAGCTTAACAGGTTCCTTAGGTTCCTTTAAGACCACATCATTCAGCTCTTCGGGTAATATACCATTTTGGGTCATACCCGCCATTTTTTTACTCATTATTCCAGTTTGGATCGCAATTTCTCCGTCAAAAAATCTCCGATGATATCTCTGCACGTGCTAAAATCGCAAATGATCTTATTGCAGAAATCGGAAAAATTAAGACGCGTGATGATGACCTCACCAAAGAGGCGCAGAAAATCTTAACGATGATTAATAACTTAAGTGCCAGACTTGATACCATCGAAGAAGCCTGCCGTAATAATTTTGGCAGAATTTCATCTGAAATAAGCTCTATCAATGCTTTGATCGAATCTCTCCAGAACGAAATAATGATTCGACATTACGCGCTTGCTGTTATCAGCCAGTCGAAACTGATCAGCTGAGTGTGGCAAGCCAATCAGAAACATCAAGCCAGCCACATGCATGTTCGTCTGGAAGTTCTAGTAAGCAATCCGGAATTTATATTCCATGCCTTCATGACTTATAATTCGATATATTTGCAGGCTCTGGTCTAATAACATTAGGAGGTATTAGCTTGGCTGTCTGGACCCGATTCAAGCAACTTTTCGATCAAATAAGGGAAGAAAAAGGACTTAATTCGGAAGAGATGTGCTTTCACGTAGCAATGGAAACCTGAACACTTGGAGGGAAAATTAAGTTCGAGGTTTTTATGAAAGAAATATCACGAAGATCGAAAGGTAGTTACATTAGCACATTAGATGATATTGGTTTATGGATAGATAGTAAAAATAACGAAAACTTTCCCCCTTGGGGCGCTCCAGAGGAGCTAGATAGTTAGTATGGAGTAGCGGGAAGAAACTGCCATTATTGCATTGCAAACGTCTAGGGGCACATTTCTCCCTTGAAACATCCGCTACCCCAATAAAGGGATTGGAATCGATTCTGCGATAGTCGAATTAATCGAAAATCGCATGAAAAAATCGAATCTGACGCCTAAACAATTTTTTCATTCTTATGACCTTTTATGATCTTAGTCAATTGTTTCCATTGATGTTTGACCTAAAATAATATAAAAAATTTGTGTTTTAACGATTAAATAATATTTTAATTCCGGCCGGCATTAAAGCTCGGCCGGAATTAACTTCGTGTAACTTAGAATTTTTTGTGGTACAAAACTTATACCAATTAATCGCGCTTATAAGTAGCTATGTAGCCAAATTTTGTGTAACGTTACTGCACAAAGGCTTTTGCTTAAGCGAAACTATTTCTAATGGTTTAAAGTGGTCAATTTGACTTAGAAAGTGGTCGATTTGGCCTATTGAAAATTCATGATTATTAGCTACTTCAAGGCCAAATTGACCATTTTCAAGAGTGACAATCTTGATGTAAATATTAAAAGAATAATAAAAATTCGATTTTTACGTAAAAACCATGATCATCCAAATTGTAACATCCCAAATGTCATGATTTTTATGTACATAATATCGATTAGAATCGATTAATCGAAACCGAAAATCGAATTTTTAAATCGAATCTTGAGATTCGATTAATCGCGATTAGTCGATTCTATAATCGATTCTCAAAATTAGAATCGATTCCTATCCCTACAGTCCAATATCTTTTTTACTATAACTCAAAAAATGCAATAAAAGGTTTACTGTGAATTTTAAACGTGTGTGCGTGTTTTCGAGTGAATGACGTGAAACGTCGTAAAAATAAATGTTTTATTAGTACAGACTGAAGGATAAATACAAATCGGGACATTACGCCCGTGATATATGCGAAAATAAACACTCCTATGGAGCGCTTCGTAGAAGCAATGGTTCGGGTTATTGCCCGTGATACATGATATCTACACTAACTAACTCGTTTCACTTCTCCGCGATTTTGCTCAATGACTTTGACCTTTTTATTTACCGAGACCCCTCACCACTTTGAGAAGCTCCCATCTGCTTTTGCGCCTCCTCCAACAACCAAACAATATGACCGAGGACCTTTCCACCTTAGTTTGCAAATTCTCGTCTTTGTACACGACAGTCACTGATTCCGATAGCTTAAACGATGGTTTCCCTCCCCGTCTAACATGCACTCCATAAAGTACCATTCGGACGCGTCTGTGACAATTCCGAATACCCTATCTATACTCCGGCCATCGTCGATTTCATCTGCCTTGCGTTTACGTGACAAGGTTGATTCCATCTGCACGGACGCCTGTGCGAACCCTTTCATAAAATCTTCTTTCTTAACTTCGATTACACCAAGGACCCTACCAGTCGGACGACATTCTACTGCATAATCAAGGTTTCCTTGCCCAAACCCTCAAGTTTTTCCGGTATGAGTTTGAAATTATCTTTGTAAAACGAAACCCCGGCAGCTAGGTAACAGTAAGAATAAATGGTCTTCGTTGCCTCATAGGCCCTGTCGAGGGGAGTAACATCTTGACGAAATTTTTAATTCAGCCATTAGATGCTTAACTACAGCTTTGGACTTTTCGCACTACCACACGAAAAAACGGGATACACATCAATGCTGGGATTCGGGTCATCGCTAAGACGTAGAGTTCACACACTTTCGGGAAGGTCCATTCGTTGGAGGGCTTCGAGGAAGTCTCAATGAGTACAGTAAACTTGAAGCTGCTTTTTGCCACGAACACCTGAAGCATCTCACGCAGGTCTTGATCGTTACGAGGGGTATTTCCACTGTCATTTAACATGTTAAGTACTGCACCATCATTTTCGAGTGCTGGTGTCTGATTTATAGCGCGTATGGAGTTTTTGAGGACATCGAGGGTCGCGTGTTCGATATTCACAGTCCACTTGAATCCCTTCGTTCGCTTCGGACTCACGACAACGTCGAATGTTGTAATGCAATAACAGGTTTAACAATACTTCTTATAACCTGAGGTCAGGAAAAAAATACGTACCATGCACGGACTTGTTGAGTAATGCCTGCAACGAAGCGACCTGGTCAAGTAATTCCTGTTCGCGATTCGAAGTGGCAGTCGACGCGGGTGGTTCAACTATTACATGAATACATTCTTCGGCCGGTGAGTCAGGAAATATTTCGAAGTCTTTTTTGTGGCAAGTAGTTCGGGTTGGTCTGATTACGCAAGAGTCGCGATCGTCATGAATTTCCACCTGAGCTTGTCTACAGGAAAATGGTCGAACTCTGGTGCCTTTTTCGCCTTAATAGCTTCCTTGAGCTCGCTAATAGGTTCGTCACTACTTATTTTAACAGAGAAAGCGTTCGCGAATGTGTTTCCTGTTTTTGCGAAATTTTATTGGTGAACAGACATTAACTTCTTGGGTGATAAATGTGCGAATTCCATTACAAGAATTATGGGCAAAGAAGAAAAAACTTAGTGTATATCACCGAAATTGCTTATTTGCGAGATTAGGAAAGGCGAGATGGTTAATTCTGCTTATTACCAACCCAGAATTCATAAGGGTCGTATGGCCGTTTGCTTTATTGTTAGAAATTAATAAAAATCAATGATAAAAGTGGCCACATTGAAGTTGCGGGCTTGTTAACCATAAATAAATTCACATGATATACCAAAAAAATACTCGAAAAAAAGAAAAAATTATGTTCATATGCAAAATAATGAGTTTATTATACACGCGCGTCAGATTTACACCTTAAAATATAAGAAAATTTCAATATTTTACTTTTATTTATGAAATGGTGGAAGTTTATCCCGCGCGTGAGATGTAAAAAACGCTTTTTTTTATTATTGTTATTATCCCGAATTTATTAGTTATTTTTGGGAATTACAAGTCGTTTATCTCGTTATTGCCATTGTGATAATAAGACCTGTGAGTTTACGGTTTGGGATTGAAGGGATTGAGTCATTATATGCTATTTACAAGAATAAGATAATTGGTTGCTTTTTTATTAATAATAGCCCGAAGGGATCCAAAAATATAAGTATTATATATTTACAGTATCAGATCAAAAAAAAAAAAATTCTTATAATTTACTGTGTAATTCAACTATAATTTTAATAAAAATTTAATAAATCAAACTATTTTGCTGATGTCTGAATTGTGTTTTTGCGTTTAAACATTTATGCATTTAATAGTTAATATGATTGTTCTATCTACAGTTTAAAGCAATTTCTTTTTTTTTTTTGGTACTTTTAGTACTCTAGATAGGAAGTTTTAGTTTCCTTGTTTAAGATTTGTAATTTAGAACAAAATTGTAGTTGACCTGGATTATAATTTTTTGTTACAGATTTGAATTAATTTATAATTTCTAAACAATGAACGCCCTAAGTCTCAACCCTTGAAAACTTCTTTAAAGAAGACTACCTTATTAAAAAAAAATTGAATGAGAATGTTACACAACACTAGGTTTACAAAATCTGGCTCCCAAAAAAGGAAATGATTGATACAACGCATTACAATTCTTAGCGACTTTGCACGTGACAACTGAAAGTGATGACTTTGACTATTAACATTTCAAAAAAGATTTCCTTATAATAATGGCATATCAGAATGCGGATCAGAATACTTTAGTTTAGTGTTGTAACACTAAGAAGGAAAATTTGCCTTGAAGTGAAATGAATGTTACATAAATTCAAAATATAAATCACACATATACGCAAGGTTAATATAAAAATTATCATTTCAAGTATTCTACGTAATTTGTGTTCAACATGAATTTATCATAAATAAATATCTAATTCATTTTCATATAAATACACCTAAATTCGATTTATTTCCCTTTTCCTATTTCTTGAGCTTTTTCAAGTCTGAGTTCATATATAAAAATGTAACAGGAATTTACACGTTTCTTTTTACTTTATTCTTCGAAAACGCCGAAGTCAACGACAAATCCAACGTTATAGACGTAGAATTGTGAGATTGCACAGAAGACGTGCAATAAATATGTTAAACCGGATTACACAATTACCTTTACAAATTACAAGTGATCCATTCGCAAATCAATTTTTTAATGGTTCTCCTTTTTAAAGTTATACTATATAAAAGTATAATTCTGAGGTAAAATAAAATACATATTTATATGTATAAATGTAGATTTTTTTAATAATATTCTTTTTGCAATTGATTTACATTCTTACTTTTAAATTTCATATTAGATTAAATCTTCGACGCGAAGAGACTTTGCACATTGGATCTGTAAATTGATCGTCCAATTAATTTATTACCCTATTTTTTTTTCTTACATTCGGAAGTTTGCGGAGGATGCCGATACCACGAGTCACATGATACAAACTGTATACGAATAAAAAAAATTCGATAGTTCTCTATATTTCATAGATTAAATTTTTAAAGGATTCTATCTGGTTTTTTAGATTATTACTCTTTTATTTCTCTTTAATGTAATATATCATGCCCATTTTTCTTGTATGAATAAATAAATATGAATAAAAATTTATTATAAGATGCACCGAGAAAAAAAATTCTTGACCACGTAAAATGTTAATAAATGTCATAAATATCAAAGATGTCGAAAAAAAAAACGTTGCTGCTACTGGTTAACACCAGTTTAAAACCAAACCCGAGACCAATAAATAGTGTATTGGTTAACAAATAGTGAGTATTTATTAACTTTTTTATTGTCTTTAACTTAATAGAAGACAACCGTTTATCGACGATGGGTTCGACAAGGCGATCTGGTTTTAGAAATTTGTGAAAGGCAGAGCGGATCTTGTAAAGGGTTAATAGGTTAGCATTGTGAATTATAAAAGCATTAGTATATTTAAGATATAAGGTTTTTAAAGAATCTTTTCAATTTCCTTAATTTCTTTGACTTATCATTATTTGCCTAGTAATATACATTAGATGTTGTAAAGGACATTTTTAATTAGAAATTTTTATAGAGGCTTTCGGAGTATTTTTCTAGAAAAAAATATAGAAAAAAATTTTATGCGTAGAAAATAATATATAAATCATTACGGTAAATTAATTACAATTAATTTATATAATAAAATTATTTGTGTAATTTTAGTAATATTTTATTTAAACATTCTTCCTAAATTTCAGCGTCAAAACTCAAAAGGTAAAGAATATATTGATATTCTTACTCGAACACACTCGTCTTTACATTAAAGACGAACTCCATCATTATCATAATTATTATGGAGCATAAATCTCATCTTTGGAATGTATTTATTATATAAATGATAACAAGTTCTATAGCTAATAATATATCCTACTTTTGATGTATTTTTTTTTGTATTTAACGATCAATGATATGTAATCACCCATTAATTTTATTGTTCGTAACCTGTATACCTTTAAAAAAAAAATCATTCTAATAAAATATATGCTAGATCTTGAGCAAAAATTAGATGTGATTTTGGAAATAATGAGTGCAAAAAAAAATTATTTTTTATTAATTAATAAATTAACTTCGGCCAAATTTGGCAGCAAACCACTGAGAAAATAATACAATTAATTTCAAAAAAAGGCGAAATTACCCTTTGCCATTGCTAAATATTAATATTTAAAATAAATTTAACAGGTTAAAAAATGGTGAAAACACAAAACCTATGTCTATAAGACTATCATAACTAAAAAAAATTCAAAAGAGCGAAGATATATACTTAAAAGAGTATAAAGAAATCAAAAGAACGAAAGATATATAATTAATAAATAAAGAAAGTCCAATAATAAAATAATGCGGATAAGTAATTAAAAAAGCCAAATAGCCAATAAGGAAATATCGCTATAAGAAGCAAGGCTTTGGTTAAATAGCTAAAGACGATTAAATATTCTAATGACTAGAGAAACCAACCACTTCCCAAGAAGCACTTATAATAAGAGTTACATGCTAAAGAAAGAATCTCTTTGAAAGGTAAAAAACAAATCTATAATTAGATTACATAAACAAAGCATAAATATCCATCAAAGAAAGAGTAAAGTTTACCTAATTAATTAATTCACAAAATCAACATTGTAGAAGAGTAGTACTGATTGCTAAAATACTCCCTGAAGCAAAAATAAATCTTTTAGTATAAAGTCATTAAAGTATATTAATGAAACACAATAATCTCTTAATTTCCCAAATATTAAAGATCACACAAGTATTGCTCCATAGACTAACTCTTTATATATTATAACTATTTCGTTTGTCAGTCAAAAATTAGTTCTGTCAAATTGCATTAACATAACGAACTCTAAATAAAAAATAAGAGATTATCGAGATTATCACAACGTTCTTGGAAAATCGTGTTGTATTAATGATATTCAGGATTTCAGGTTGCATTAATGATATTCAGATACTATTCAGATATACTGTAACCGAGTTTTCTAGCGTGATTTTGTTACCAAACAAAGTTAATCAATTTTCATTATATAGTATATAATGACGTCATCATCTGATCTGCGATCAATGTAACTCGTAATGACGCGGTTTTACAGTCTATTCATCTCTCTACTCGTCTATAGAATGTATAGAATGTAATAAGGATCTGGTACCTAATAGTTGATAGTAATAGGCGCGCGCAAAGTATTAAATACCAGTTCCACAGCTCTACAAGCTCCGCACATCATCTATATCAAAATTACGTCCCAGAGTCACCAAATTCATGTTAGTTATAAGTCATGTTATGTATTATTGATTTTTTCGCGTATGCGATAAATCTTTCATTTCTAAAAAAAACTCTCTCTGTATATAGAAATATAGGCTACCAGTTACCTTTCAAGGTTAGACTAAAGGGTAATTTTAAGAAAGTTGATTTTCTCCGAGTCCACGAGTCGAAGCAGTTCCTTCTACGTAGGGAATTGAGAGTTTGGGTTGTTGTGGAAGAGGTTCGCCTTTTATTAGCTTTGGCAGCAGCCTTAGTCTCCTTAGTTTATTGGGCAATGATAGAAGGGAGAGAGCAACAAAAAAAATTATTTCTAAAAAAACAATAATAAAAAAATCGATTTTGTTACTTCATTTTATTTTATATTTTTTATGTATGAGAGTAACGGGTATTAATTATCGGTAAGAAAAAATTTATTATTATATTATGTAATCATCCGATCTTTATTACAGCGCTATTTTATATCAAAAAACTAGATGATAGATGAAAGCTCTTTGAATGGAGCATTACTGGTTTTCTAGATGAATGCAAAATGACTTAAGAAGCTTTAAAAGAGGTGTGTTATTTTTTATTTTGCAAAGTGAGTAACTCCTAAGCAAAATTAGAACGAATTACTCAATTGAGTCGGGGAGTTCACAAATTTTACTTAGGAGAATACTTGAATTGTTTGCTTGGGTTGGTGAAGAGTGATGAGTGATTTTTTTAAGTAGGTAACTCCTAATAAAATCTAGAACGGATTACTCAATTGAGTCGGGGAGTTCACAAGGTTGACTTAGGAGAATTACCTGCTTTTTCTTTAATTCTTTTTACTTTATTTTATTTTATTTTATTTTATTTTTATTTTTATTTTTATTTTTATTTTTATTTTTTTCTTCTTTTTTCTTTTAATTACTTGTTTACTTGTTAACCAACTTAAGCAAACATTCTAACTTTGTTATTGGTAAAGTCTGCTAGTTCTAGAAGAGGAATTGGCTATGTCTTCTTTACCATTAAATTAAATTTAGCACACTATTAACGATTTCTTTTTTTTCATAATAGTAAATACAGAAATTTACTCAGGAAATTGTTATCTGAACTTGTTTTCTGCAATTTCTTTGACTGAACAGATAACTTCATCAGATGAGATACATTCGTCATGTTCAGATGAACTAGGCTAAAGGTAAGAATCAAAACCTTCAGACAGCAAACCCATACAGAAAAAAAAAATGAATATTAAAATCTTGCCTTATAAAACTGTCATAATAAGAACAAAGCCTCTTGATTCGAATCAAACATTACTTAATAACGGATGATTATAATCGGAGGTCACAGCGGGAGTGAAAGGACGGTTGATGTTCATTATATTCATAACGGAGAGGTGGTCAAGGTAATAATAAAGTTATGCACTTAAACAAAGTCTTAAAGTTAATATCGTATTTTTATTTTTTGTTTATATATCTAAGTACTGATTTTTGATATTAACTACAAGCATTATTGTGTTACTGGCTTCGTATCGACGCCACAAAGGTGTAGTATTCGTTTCGCAATTCGCATAAATCAAGACCTAACGATGTTAAATATAAGCTGGAAAATCATCACAATGAATTGTACTATCGCAACTGGACTAGATAGTGTAATAGATAAGATGTGTCTGGCCAATCAGCATTTAGAAAATTAAAGAACTTTGCGCATTATTTGCACCACCATTCTCCACTTTATTATTGTATTCTTTAAATGTTGCTACCTAGCTAAAAAAATTAATTTCATATCAACTATTCCGTTATGCAATTTCCACATTTGAACGTGTGATTTTTTCCGTGTTAAATAATCGTGATTTCGTGGATATGTTGCCATGATTACCATGATTACCATCAATAAAAGAAAATGATCATCACAAAAAAAATGGTGTTTTTTTTGTTTTCAGATTGGAGGAATATTAGATCATTAATTTCTGGAACAGAGTTTTTTTCGATTAGTGGAAGCCTATTTGTCACTCCGCTTTAGAAGATCCCCGTACTGTCACAAATTTTGAAGTTTTAATGTAACCTTAATTAACTATTTAAACAATATAATAAAATGTAACGATCGATATGTAATGCTTTAATTTGGGGTAGATCGGACCGGAAGGAGATTGACCGATGCACGATATGTAACGCGAATATCTTTGTAATTCTTGGCAAAAAGATTAAACTTTTATTAATTGCGTTCTTAATAAAATAAATAATAAACAAATGATTTCATTTTAACATCATAACACCATTACAAACCCCGTGGTGACCGTTTTGCTAAATAAACATATCCATTGTTTTATTGATTTTTTGTATCACTTAAATAATTAAGTTAAGTTCTCGCGTAGTTGAAGACGCAGCAATTGTAAGCGATTTATTATGCTTTATAATTTAATAAGTGTAAATGACATTTTACTGAAAAGCCATTTTAACTTTTTAAAAACGATTTTCATATTTTTTCATAATATCAATTGGTAATGAGTAAAATTTTATATTTTATAAGGCCAATAAAAAGTCTTTAATAACCGAACTTTGAAATTGTATAACGTATATAATATATATTACAGAAAAAAAAAATTATGATCAAAAATGTTCAAAATATTAACTTTTTTTACTAAATTAAATTAAATTATTTTTTTGATTTTGTATTACGGAGATTAAATTTTTGATAGTTTCTTCCATAGAATTTAATTTTCCAGAAAATTCTTTTTCCATGGATAGAATTTTTTCTTTCAACAATTTATTTTCACCACCATTATTATTATTATCATTTTGAAGAATAATATTATTATTACTAACTGATTTAGATGAAATACTTGAAGATTTTGATTTTAATAATAATTTCTTCTTATTTTCATTTTCATCAACAAACCAATATAATGATAATGGAGTTTCTTGTTCTTTTCTTGGTGATGCAATAGAATCAGTTTCAGTTGAATAATAATATGAAAGATCTTGATAATGATCATTATCATCATCATCATCATCATCATTATCATCCCAAGGATTTTTGTCATCAACTTTTGATAAGAAATTCTCATGATTTTTTCTTGCTTTCTCGGATTTTCTTAACCATTCTTCAATATAATCTGATTTTCCGATATAATAAATATATCGAGGATTTCCTCTTTTACTTCCAAGAGGTTTTTCGATCGTTTCATAATCTTCGATCAATTCCGCTCGATATTCTAATACTGCATGTCTACCAATTTCTTTAGCATCATCATATGCACCACTGAAAATTAAATATTATGTGTAAGTTTTATTTGAAATATGATTAATATAAATAAACATTAAAACTTACGTCATGATCGCAATCAACATATTCTGTAAAATTGTGACTAGAAGGATACTAGCAATAATAGAATAAACATCTATTGGCCAAAAATTCCATTGTTCTAATTGATCCCAACGACCACCAGTCCAAAAGAAAACTGATTCAACAGATTTAACAAAATTTGTGAAATAATTATCTGATATACTTTTCACATCAATCACTTGTTCCACTTTATATGGTAATGGTTCACCCGTATCCGAATCAGTAGGTGTGATTTGAAAGGAGGAACCATCAGGTTTAATGCCTATGGATTCAGTATCATTAAGTAAAACGAACCTATTAAAAATAAATTAAATTTTATTATAAGTTTTAATTAAAATATCGATCGTTAACGTTATTTTTTGAAATTTTTTAAAACCTTCACTTACATAGCATGACCAAATCCGAGGACAACCATTAGGATAAAAATTAAGAAAGGTATAATTTGTTTAAAGATATTGACTATAATATAAATGTAAGCTCCAGATCTTTCAAAGTATCGTAACAACTATTTTTATTAAAAATAAAGTTAGTATCAAAATATTTAAACGTTACGTATATTTAAATATTCATTCAAAAACTTACCAAAAAAAGTTCAAACCACATTACTAAAACTGCAAATGAATTAAAAATAGTAAATATTCGATCGTCTTTTACAATTTTTTCAGCTTGTTCTTGAAATGCTTCTGGTTCATCAACTGGATCGGGGTTAACAATAGCATAGTATATACCTAAACTAGTCATCACTAATGGAAAAATGACTGAAAACAAATCAAAAAAATTATAAAGCCCAAAATATCTTCTCCATCCCTCATATTTTAATTGAATTCTTTCAGTATTCAATAAATAAAATCCCAACCAATAAAATAAAGCAAATAGTACTAATATCCACGAAATACTATTAATTTGTTCATCTAATCCTTTAATCGCACCGCTTATAAGTGCAAAAAGAAATGCAAATACAACGTATATAAGCGCATGTCTTAAGAAATGATTTCTTGCCGCTTTCCATTTAAAGTCAATTACTGCGGCCATTGATGGATTATCATAAATTTCTGCACCATTGTCTTCTCTTATCATTCTCAAGAATGGACTCAAATGATGCTTTTTTTTAAGCACATGACCACGTGGCCAAAATAACAATTTTAAAAATTTGAAAGGAATCTTCCAGTTTTCTACTCGTTTATCCTCAAAAACTTTCTCAGGGTATACAGTAAAATCTGGAAGAGGTACCATGTAAACCTGATTAATTAGCGAAGAATTAGGGGCAGTTGTTTTGCTCACTAAATCTGAAATAATTTTCTCTCCACTAAAAAAAATGACAGGAAAAAAAAAAATTAATTATTTTTGTTTACGATCTGTGCTACATTTAATCTCATTAATTTATATTAATATATTAATCCCTACCTTTGTTTTCCTTTAACGATTGATTTTTGTAAGAAATTACGCTCTTTTCCTTTCTTGGTGAGACCCAAATTTACGTTTAACGCATGAACATCTTTATGATTACTTCTATCCATGTCTTTATCACGAATTTTAGATTGATCCAAGTAAACTTCGCTGGCACCAAAACAAGGCCTTTGAAATAATTCTTTAACATAAAATTCTAAATTATATTCATAAAGGGTCGGAATTGCTTTAGCAACGGTAAACATCCAATTTGAAGAATATAAAGCGTTATTAGAATAATAATCTAATAAATATTTAACTATTATTGTATCTTTACGATAACCTCCTTTTGTACATACGATAGAGATTTCAAGATCAGTATCTTTCGCGAGTTGACCACCCCATGAATTACATCTCGGAATATGTAAATAATCATTTTTTCCATCAGATATAGAAAATAAAATATTTCTAATAATATATGTACAATTACCACGAATTAGATTTGCCATAATATCATAACGTATATCTAACATCCTCCATAAACCACATTTTTTAGTTAAATATTTTCTAATGATACGTTCAGTTTGTTGAATCAAATCATCAAATTGATGTTGTCTTTTTGGATCTAAAGTTTGACCTTTTTTCCCATTAAAAAATTCCAATGCTTCACAAGCATGTACTGGAGGATTAACTTTTTCAGGCCATTCAAGTGTAACTGTGTCTCCAGGTTCAGAAAATGAATTTATAGAAGGAATATATAATGTTAAAGAGAATTCTTTATGACCAACTTCTAAAGATTGGATTTGCATTGGTCTATTAAAATTATTTGTCCAAATATATTCAAGAACTTTCGTAGATGATAATGATGACGCTTTTGAAGTTGACGTTCCACTTTTTCTTTTACGCCATACTTGAACTGTAGATTCACCAATAAATAATTGAATAGATTTATTATCATCAAGATAAACCGAAGTACGTTCATAATTTTTATTTAATATCCAAGGTTCAGGATTCCTAATAATTCTATTTTCGAACTTAGAACCTAAATATTTTCCATAAGAATCGTAAATTGAATGATAATTCGTAGTAGTAATAGTTGCTACGGCAGTTGATGAGGAAGTATTGGACTTATCATTAAGTTGAATAATATTTCTTGTATTATCATTTACAGGATCTAATAATTTAATTATTTCAGAATCTTGTAATAAAGAAGTAATATTCCCATCATCCGTAATTGTAATAAGATTTCCTGAAGCATTAGCCAACCTTTGATGATGCTCACATTTTTTAGGGAATAATGAAAAAGTATCATTTATCCTTCTAATACAATTATCAGAACTATTAAATAAATCCCAAACTACAATAATAGGAGTATTAACAAATTCTGAAGTAACTTCATTATAACTTTCTTCTTCGATAACGATCAATAATTTTTCATCATTCTTTACGAAATCAAAAAATAGTATTTGAATATTCGTTTCATTAAATTTTTTTGTAGTAACTTCCAAACCATTCTCCATTAAATAAATGGTAATACTATTTGCACCACGACAATAAGCGAATAAAGATTCATTATTTGATATAGCATAACAAGAATAACCTTTTCCTAAAAATGAAGCAGCAGTTTCTTCAGATTTTTGAAAAGTATTTTCTAATAAAGTTGTTTTTAAATTATACATTTCAACAGTTTGTATTTTATTTTTATAACTTTCTACTACAAAACGACCTTTTACTAAATTTTGTTGAATAGAAAAATTAGAAATTTCACTATTTGATAATTTGCTTGGTAAATTAAAATTTTCAACGGATTTATCAGAGAAGAGATTAAACCAACCATGAACATAATTTTCATTTATCATGGAATAGATTTTATCATAATGAATAGAAAATCTTGAAATTCCATAAGAATTTATAAGAGCTAAATCTGCCTTTTCAGAAACCGAACTATCATCATCCAAGAATTTAATTATACCACCCATATCATTAATTGAAGAAGAAATTCTCGCTTGTTTAGCAGAAGATATAACCCAAGTATGTTTAATAGTTGAATCAGCATTATTAATATCATCATCAAAACAAGAGACGGCAATTAACACATCAGTTGTTTTATCAGGCAAAGTAATTTCATTAGACACAGTTAAACTCCAAATTACAGCGGGAGCATCAAAATTTTTAAAACTATCATAATTCAAAGTATATAATTTTGATATATTATCGGATTGACATAATTTTAATTGATAAGTTGTGGTATTTAATGTTACTATCTGATTGCCGTCCGGACTTATAGCTATATATTGATGACCATTATAAATATTCCTTTTGTTATACTTTGATTCAAAAGAAGCAATTGACCTAATCTCCGCTTTTTCTTCGTCACCATGTAGATACGATGGTATTTGATTAGTTTTCTGGAATGCAAACATGATTGTTACACTTTTATACGTTATATATTTAAAAAAAAAAATTTATTAACCCTTTCAAAGGATTAATTAAAAGGAAGGTGAAAGGAATTTTTTTTTTTAAAAAAAAAAAAAGAAAAGAAATTCTTTTTTTTATTTATATTTTTTATTTTTTTACAAAAATCCTTTTTTTTTTATTTATATATAAAAAATTTATGCAAATTAATAATTTATATGTAACTGTATCCTTATTTTTACATAATCATGCAACATGGATACCGTTTACTTATATACCGTATTTGCCCAAAAATAAGCAATCACCGAAAATAAGCAACATGATGGCCCGCATTATAACAAATTTTGGCCCACATTATCAAAACTTGGCCGGCATTATGTGCAAAACTTGTTGGGCAAATACGGTATTCGGATTTTTTTTTTAGCCATGAAGGAACATTTGATAAAAATATAGATCGAACCATTAATGTAATTACTTGGCTATGAAGAAACATTTGATAAAAATATAAATCGAACCATTAATATTATTACTCGCACAGTATTTATTTGGTATTTGAAACTCAATGAGAAGTGATCGGATTTAATATAGCAATCATTAATTTAATGTTGTACAAATTCACTAAGAATAAATATTGTACGATAAACAATTTTCCTTTATTGTCTGTATTAGTGCTTAAATTATTAATCTGAATTCCATGCAAATGCAAAAGAAGCCAATTATTTTTTGTAAACAATCTTATAAACAATCGGAGATTCCGTGCATTAGCAAACAAAATATATACTTTATTATTTAACGTAATCAATAATCCAGCTCAGCCACATGTATTAATATTAATAATACTAATTTAATTATAATTTAATTGAAAGAAAAATTTAGAAAAAGAGATTTTATAGATATCTTTCTTTACTAAGAAAATTAAGCTGCGTCAAAGACATAAATATTTGAATAAATTTGAATAATTTATTCAAAAAATACATATTCATTATAATAATATATTAAACCATTTTGTTAATTTTATTAGTATTTTATTATTAATCCTTTACTATTTTTTTTTTTATTTAATCATTAATACCATTTGTTGCCATACTTAAAAATAATTAATTTTAAAATTAAAAAAATCATTAAAATATAATAATTTTGTTAATGAATAAAATAACGCAAAATTAATCCGAGTTTGGAAGTAAAGTAGCAATACAAGCAATAATATTTGCTTATGTCATATATATTTTATTATAATGGATATTAATAGATCGTAATTATTTATTCGTTCTGTTCTCGTCTTCTCGATTTTCCGATGTGATTCGATAAAACAGAAACATTTAAATCCTTTAGAATGCCGGCCAGAATAATTTAGTTTACGGTAAAATAAAAGGAAAATTTTGCTTCAAAGTGAAATGAATGTTACATAAATTCAAAATATATTTCACTCATATACGCAAGGTTAAAAAAATTTTACGCTTGCGTAACTTGATTTTTATTCATCTTTCTATTTCAACTGTATCATAGTCTGTACCTATTTCTTGAGTTTACAAGTCTAAGTTCTTATATGAATGATGCAGGAACTCATCCGTTTCATCGTTCTCACGGCTAATATGCTGCTAATGTTACTAAATCGAAGATTCAAAAACTATTTTGTGCTCAAGTATAACAAGATCAATAGTTTGAACATTCTTTTTTTAGTTTTTTAAGTCGAGTAAAAGTAGAAAAAATTCTTTTGTTATACTAAAAAATAGGCTATTTTTAGATTATTTGTTCATCAAAATAGGAAACTCTTAAAAACTTTCTGATATATTTTTGACCAAATCAGATCTCTCATTGGTCTATCAATTGAGATGTTTAATAACGCCCTAAGATTATTTTAATAATGTCAATTAACAATATCGGTTTGACAAGTTTAGGGAAAACTTGTTGGATGAAAGTCCACCACAAAGCGTTTCAACTTCAATAAAAGATTATACCTCTCCGGAGAAAGTAGTTGAAGTAGTAAATTATTTGAGGAAAGAAAGGAAGAGAATGGAAAAGAAAATGGATCCCGAAAAGGAAAAAGAGATTGAAGAAGCGGCAATAAAATACAAAAATCAATATTTAGAGTTGGTCACAGCAGCAAGAAAGAAATTGGCGGATGCGGCTGAGGCAAAGAAGGCAACAGAAGAGAAAACCAAAAGTATAAAACAAGTTACTCCAGTAGAGATACATGAATACAATACCGTGAACGCTTCCTGCTCGACAAGGTTATTATCTAACCCACATTTAAAAAAAGAAGAAGCTAATGAAGATTGTGTAAAAGAGGGTAAGAAGCGAATTATCGGTAAACAAGGGGATAGAAGTAAAGTGGAGGAGGGTGAAGAGAGTAGTGAAGGAGAGTGAAAACGTATAACGGAAAAGGTAAAAGTAGAGTTAGAAGTGTTAGGGGTAGAGGAGCTCAAGGTAGAGGTAGATAGCAGTAATAGCAATATAGTAGATAAACATAGAAATTGGGTTGTAGTAGTAGTCAAAGGGGGTTATTGTTCAGTTTCAAGTATTTCTGTGTTTACCATGTAATTTGTTCTTCTACACTTTACTTAATAAAGAAATGCGTTTATCGAGTTAAGGAAAAAAAAAAATATCGGTTTGATTTTAATTAAGACATCCCTTCGAAATCATTTAAATAATAGTCAGTTACTCCTTTGCAGTACGAGAAAAAAATGATTTGTTTAACGGCTTCAGCAATAATGATAATAATATATCTGATATATATACACACACCTTAATATTGTCTATTACTATCTTTACTGCCGTCTACTGTTGTCTTTCTCAGTTCCTCAAAAATGTTTGCTCGCTTCGCACAAAGAAATATTTTTCGATACGCTCAAAGAAGCATGCATAATGGCCACCTGTTAATAATAACAGTAACGCTTTAAACGGTCAGTAATATGCTGTAATAAATTTTATTAATATAATAATTTAAATAAAATAACTAAAATAATATAAATTCTTGAAATAAATTAGTTCCTAAAAATATTATGGTTCCATTAGGACCCAGAAATATATATATAAGGGAAAATTTTTTTTACTATGAACTGTACGCAGAGACTTTTTATATGAATAGTACGCATAATTGACACCCGATATTGAAAATCCTGCAAAAATACGCAAATAAAATTTCAGACATTAAGTTATTAATTATTTTATCATGATTCTATATTATTTATAAAACCAAATACTAATGTAAAAAAATAGAATTTATTCTAATTTACCATTTTTTCAATAATATTTTTCTTTTTAACTTTTAGAAATTTCTTTCAAATATTACAATGCGGTTAACGTACAGTAAATATATAAGAATAGCCAAATTTAGGCCAAAAATACGCAAACTAATTTTTACATATAAAAATTTTGATAAAAAATACACAATCTTGATGACCTAACTATGGATGAAAAATTCTTAGATTGTACGCAAATCAAAACTTTACTCTGTCTAATTTCACTATGATGGCGACGCATCTGTGTACCCTACCCCTGTATATATATTTCTGGGTCCTGTTCCATTGGTTCCGGCTGCGACTACTCTTTCCGGAATAGTTTTTAAATTTTACATTATTAATTAACGGATGATTATACGATTTTAAGGTCAATCCATAGATCGGTGGATATGAACGAAGTCATCATTAAATCATTTCAATGATTTTATGATTTGGTTAAAAACTTAAAGCTTAACTGCTATGATTTTAACATATGAGTAATACTATTTTTTGTCTAAGCCTAATATCACTATAAAAAACGTAGCACCATGTCTGAAAGTGAAGAAGTCAAGAAATATAATACGAATGTATTTTTGCGCAAGGAGGAGGATAGGGTCTTGACGACGATGACTTGGAAATTATTCGTCAGTGAAAAATAATGGACCGTGAATTCCTAAAGATGTACAAGCAAGATTTCAAAGATAGTGGACCAGCGTTAAGACTTGCGTGCGGACTTCGCTAAGAAGTGTAAGGAGAAAAGGAAGCGTGCGTTTTCCTCATACCGCAGTTTGGGGGAAGTGTTAGAAAAATATGGCATTACAAACAATAGCATAACAAGCATCCCTCAATTTGTGCCAGGTAACGTCCAGCTTTTTTCGTTATAAAATTCCACGAGTCAGAATCATATTCAGCTGTCTTCCGCCTTTCATTTATAGAACATCATTTAATCGATTAAATAACTAAGCAAAAGGAATTAAGAACTTAATATAATTGACTGATAAATGTAACCCCAGATCTAAAAATATTTATAAATACAATTTTGATATCTCGTAATCGGTATGTGATTATACATTTTTATTGTACTTATTGAGTATTCTCTTTAGGTAATTGATATACGAAGAATTAATTATATAATTAAATCGAATATCTCATGCAATTTGATAAACTTTATTGTTACATATCAAATTAGCACATGAAAAGGACTTTTTAATTAATTATTTAAAAAATTTAAAAGTTACAACTAAATTATTATTGATAATAATACCCAAATCAAGGTAACACAATCTCGCCCAGAAATCAAACATAAAAATTTTGTACTACAATACTTTTTTGAATTACTGATGTTTATTTAAAAAGATGGATAAAAAGTCTATCAATATTGGATAAAAATCTATCAATATTAGAATAATAAGTCCATCATTATCGGAATCGTAATAAAAATAACTGTGAAATATTATGGCTGCGCCGTGAAAAATCAGCGATATCCATGAAATAATATATTAACCAATTCTCGTGTTTATTTTGTCATTTTGTCAGAAAATTTAGAACAAGGAAACTTCTTTCTATGTGAATTAATCAATCAGCAAATGACAATTGTAACTGCAAGACCAAGGTTAATTCATATGCTTCATCAGAAACTATGGCTCTGTAAAAAGAAATATACGATTAAATAAAAATTTATTATACTTATATAATTAGTTATTTTGGTGATAGATTTTTCAATAATAATCAAACAGTCTAACAAAAATGATTTTATTAATTATTTAATTATATGTCTTAGATATTATATCGTAGTACAAATGATGTCTAATATAACATTGTCTATTTGCCCGAGTTGAGACGATTAATAGTCAAATACGGTCAACAAAAGGGTAATGTTACATAAGAAATTATACGTCTTTCAAATATACTTATTTAAATACTCTCACGATGAGCAAAATGAATGATTCCACTTTTAATTCCTGAAATGGACAACTTCTTCATTTTTTATTTTAAAAAAAAAAGGAAGCTCAATAAAAATATTTTTTTTTCAGATTTGAAACCAAATCAATCATCGTTGCGCTTATTGTAACAAAATGACAAATCTTCATCCGTTCATGGTCGCTGTGTTAACCATGAATGGGTCTGTAATAATATCAAACAACATAGAAATGAAAGATAAATAATTTCCTTTGTCGGTTTTTTCAGTTTTATGTAAATTTATGATCAAACAATTCTTTTTGTACGATATAATGGTGCAGAAATGCGGAGAACAAGATCTTTACAACACATTTCTTCAGCCTTACAGGTACCTTTCAAAGGGTTTATTTCTTATAATAGAGTCTTGTATTGACGTTTATACTCTTGATGTTCTACATAGAAACAACTACACTCTTTATCCCGTAGATTACAATCAACACCAATGTAGAGGACAAGAGTGCTTGGATGTCGATAGCGATAATTACAGTCTGGGAACGCCCTGTGTTATCTGTATACGAGAAGCTCTTGTCCTCCAATTTATCCAAAAAAAAGAAAGAATGAAATTCATAAAACCAAAGATATTTTACGAATATAATAATTACAAACCTGGGTAAGGGAAAGAGGTGAAAAATCTACCAAGTAATAACCTAAGATTATAGTTCTAGAAGAATTGATTATGACTGAGATTATATATTCTTAAGATTTATAGCATATGATACTATAGTAGATATACTTTTATTTTTTTCTAGACTGATTATAACTTAAATAATATGCAATTATAAATATTATTGCTAATTACGAAAATATGTGAATCAGATCATAGATTGGATAAATCCAAAATTAATGTGTCCGGCAACGGTAAACGTCTCTTGGAAATCAAACTCAAGAAGATAATTGCAGTTTCTTTTGGAGCGTCAACTGCCGTGAGGCCCGGACCGAGGAAATGCATGATCAAAATTCGACAGGATACCGATCTGCTCAATTACCTTAGACATATCCTCCCTCGGGATCAGCATTTGGAAGTGATGCCGAGAATGGAGTATTGAAATCATGGAAATTGCTCCGAAATGAATACCTGGACTCATCTGAGTCAAGTGAAACAAACCTTCAAGAAGAAAATAGTGATGAAAGTAATATTATATCCCTGCAAAAATTACAGGATGTGCCTTGTCAACTTCTTGACCAGTTGAAAGATGAACTTAATAATTATTCAGAAAAAGAATTACCGCTGAATGAAGATCTTAGAAATACTTTCGTTGAAATCTTTGGATAGCCGAGGTTTTTCCATTGTATTTAAGCCATTCAGGACGTGTATTGTGGTTTTTGGACAAAAATAAATGCTTATTTATGTGGACTTTCAGGAGCTAAGGCTGAGATGGCTGAGAATATTTCAAAAGAAAAAAGGAAAAAGAAAAAAAGAAGAAATCGAATAAGAATAATTAATTTAAATCTAGCGGCAAATTTATTAGGACATGCGAATAAAGCACAGGCAAAATTCTTCAAAGAAAGGTGTTTTTTGTTTTTAACACAGTCTTTATTTATGGTATTGCGAGAGTATTTTTTTTTTACGTAGAAATTTTCTATTAATTGTTATATTGGAGTTTAGTGATATGCATTTTAAATTTTTAATTACAAAATAAACATACTGTACTTAAAAAACCAGTTGTCATTTATTTTATCATTTATGTTATTGAGAAAAATATATTTTTTTTTCATGTACTTTATAGCATACTGAAATTTATTGTGATTAAAGCGACTCGATAATTTCTTTATAAATCACAAATAAAAATGTGGATGAACTTTCTCATGTGTAATTAAATTAAATGGGATGAAGATTTGTTCTTAATTGTTCCGGATTTAGGAGCGAAGCTTAATTCGTGATCGGTAATTATTTGAATTGGATTGACAACAGATATCCCGGTATTTTATGCTTTGGAACAACCATTTGGAACCTTATGGTTTCAATATTCTTAATTTTCTTTATTAACATCAATTTCATTAGTTGTTACGTCAGATGTTGGAAAAGTTATTTTAGTGTATCATACTTTTTGGAAAAATTACAAACGCTTTCAAAAACGAAGAACATAATATTATATAAATCAAATTGAATCCAAATAAATACAGGTTAATAAAATATAACGGATAATAACCTCACATTCTTTTAAAATATATATAACTATCCCACACGTCTTTTCGAGCGCCAGGAATTGAGAAATGGGGACTATAAATATCATTTATTTAAAAGCATTCTTCCTAAATTTCAGTTTCAAGAGCTAAAGAATATATTGATATTCTTGAACGAACTACTTGAATACACTCGTCTTTACATTAAAGATAAATTCCATCATTAGCATAATTATTATAGGGACGTAAATCTCATATATAAATGATGCAAGTTCTCTGCTTTCTCTGCTTGACTAATAATAAATCCTATTTTGATGATTTAGCTCAATTAAATATACTTACTTTACTTACTTGATTTTTTTTTTTTGTATTTAACAATCAATAATATTTAATCACCCATTAATTATTATTGTTCATAACCTGTGATACATTAAAAAAAATCATTCTATTAAAAATATGTTAAGACATAAAAATCTCGTTACCAATTTTGATAATGAATATGATGACCAAAATTAGAATTAATGAGTGTAGAAAAAATTATTTTTATTAATTAATAAATTAACTTCAGCTAAATCTCGAGGAAATAATATTTAATTTCAAAAAAAAAGGCGAATCAAAATCTCTTTGTGAATCATTTATCCTTTGCCATTGTTAACCAATTCAATGGGTTAAAACATGTGAAAGAACATAAAACCTATATCTATAAGACTATAAAGGAGTATAAAGAAAACCAAAAGAACGAAGATATATACTTAATGAGTGAAGAAAGTCTAATAGTAAAATAATGCGGATAACCAAATAATAAGGCAATATCGCCAAGATCAGTGCGATATTAGCAATAAAAAGCAAGTCCTTAGTTGAGTAGCTAAAAACGATTAAATATTCTAATGACTAGAGAACCATCCACTTCCCAAAAAGCACTGAATTACATGCTAAAGAAAGAATCTACATATGGAAAGCAAACAAAAAATCTATAATTAAATTACATAAACAAGGCATAAAATATATATCAAAAAAAAAGTATGACTAAAATATTCCCTGAAGCAAAAATAAACCTTTTAGCATAAAGTCATTAAGTATATTAATGAAACACAATAATCTCTTAATTTCCCAAATGTTAAGGTACAGTATTTTTATTATTCTTAGACACCTAGCTCTTTATATATTATAAAAAACTTCCCATATTTCGTTTTTCAGTCAAGAATTAGTTCTGTCAAGTTGCAGTAACAACGAACTTTCGAAACAAAAAATAAGAGATTATCGAGATTATCCACAATATTTTGGAAAATCATTTTGAATGTGATTTTTTTATCGTGAGTTGTAACACCAACAATTTTATAATTAGGATGTAGGGATGTGAAAAAAATAATTTTGGGATAAACCGTTTCGTACATTAATATTGTACACCCCCCTCAGTGTGTGATTTTTAAACTTAAACATGTGATGGTCATGTGCGGAAATTGTGATTGGTAGTGCGCAAATATCGCAAAGCGATACATGAATAATTTTTTAATGGTGCGCAAAAAAAAATTTTATCACCATATTATGTAAATTTAGCTACTAAGTTTTTTTTAAAAAAGAAGAAGCGCAATGTAATAATTATAGTTATACAATGCTTTTATTTTCTTACAAAATTGAATATTCTTTATTAATTGAAAATGATATATGGTGTATCGCAGTGCGACACTTTAAAAGGGTAGTGTGTGCGGAAAATCATCACTCAATTCAGTCATGTGCAAGCGCACACTTCCGCACCAAAATCACACACTGACCACCCTCCGACACATCAGGAAATCATTCTAAAAAGGAAATGACGGTTAGTATAATTTATAGAAACTTCTATAGAATTACTCTGTACATATGAATTCTGCGTGAAATTTTGTGATTTGGCCAGAATTATGCAAGATCAGCCAACATTACGATTCGCAAATCGTATATGGATAATTTCCAGTATATTCGTGATGATCCTGACTCAGCCTTTGAAAATAAAATAAATCAAATTTATGTACGTATGTCAAAATATATTATTTTCACGTTTGCATTCTTATTCTTTTCTATTTTAACCGTTTATCACTTTCAAAAATAACTATTTAAAGCAATTTTTAGTAAGTAATTTGTAGTTAAGCATGAATTTAATTCGTTTTCGTATAAATACTACACCTAAATTAGATTTGAAAAATATTTTTCAATTTTTTTTCTCTTTCTTATTTATTGAGCTTTTAAAGTCTAAGTTCATATATATAAAAATGCCATTAAATAACAGGAATTTACACGTTCCTTTTCACTTTATTCTCCAAAGACGCCGTAATCAACGACGAAATCAACGACGAATTCAACGGTATGGACGTAGAATTACTAGGTTGCATAGAAGACGTACAATAAATATGTTAAACCGAATTACACAATTACCTTTACAAATTACAAGCGATCCATTCGCAAATCAATTTTTTAATGGGTCTCCTTTCTTTTAATTTTTAAAGTTATTAATGCATAAAATGAAAAATTTTAAGGTAAACCAATAAATAAAATACATATTTATATATATATTATTTTGATGATATTCTTTTTTTCGTATGTTACACATACTTTACAATTAGATTTACATTCTTATTTATAATTTCATATTGATTATTTGTAGATTAAATCTTCGACGCGAAGAGACTTTGCATTGGATCTGCAAATTGTGAAATTGTGGCAAAAAAAATGTGGCGAAAAAAAAAACTGTGGCGAGGTTACCGTAGTAACAAAGTTTCCTATAGTTAGCTTTTTTTAACGAAGGGTGAAGCCATTTTTGGGGCGAGTAGTTTTAGTAAATAATTTTTGTTAATATTATGTATTGTAGTACCTCAAATATTCTTCTTACTATGTAATTAACCATTCCGACAACTCTTCTAAAAATAAAAAATATGTATATGAATAAATAACTTAAAGATTCACCAAGAAAAAAAAAAATCTTGAACACGTAAAATGTAAATTAATAAATGTCAAAAAAAAAAAAAAGTTGCTGCTATTATAGTAAAGGTAAACCTGGTCAACACTAGTTTATTCTTATGAAAAACAAAAACAAGTATACCAAGATCAACGATTAGTGTCCTGGTCAACAAATAGTAAGTATTTATTTATTAACTTTTTTATTATCTTAGAAGACAACCGTTTATCGACGACAAGGTGATCTAGTTTTAGAATTTTATGAAAGGCAGAGAGGATCTTGCAAATGGTTAATAGGTTAGCACTGTAAATTATAAAAACTTGTGTATTTTAAGATAGGTTTTTAAAGAATCTTTTCAATTTTCTTAATTTTCTTTGACTTATCATTAGTTGAAAAAATCTGCCTAGTATATAATATATTGTAAAGGGTATTTTTAATTAGAAATTTTACAGAGGCTTTCAAGGTGTTTTACTAGGAAAAAAATATAGAAAAAATTTATGCGTTGCGTCGAAATAATATATAAATCATTACGCTAAATTAATTACATTAATTAATATAATAAAGTCTTTTGTAATTTTAGTAATATTTTATTTTTAAACATTCTTCCGAAATTTCAGTGTCAAAAGGTAAAGAATATATTGTTATTCTTGAAACACACTACTTGAACACACTTCGTCTTTACATTAAAGACACATTGTAGAGCGTAAATCTCATCTTTGGAACGTAAATGATGCAAGTTCTCTACCCGACTAATAATAAATCCTACTATTGATGATTTAGTAATTTTTTTTTTATTTATTTAACAATCAATTAAGACGTAATCACCCTTCAATTATTTTGTTGTTCGTAACCTGTATTACCTTTAAAAAAAACCATTTTATTAAAAATATGTTAAACCATAAAAATTAAAATCTTGTTACCAACCTTGATAATGAATATGATGACCAAAATTTGATGTGATTTTGAGTACAAAAAAAAAATATTTTTTTATTAATTAATAAATTAATTTCAGCCAAATTACCATCAAGGAAATAATAAAATTAATTTCAAAAAAAAACGAAATACAAATATTATCTCTTTGTGGATTATTTATCCTTTGCCATTGCTAACCAGCCAAACATTACTATTTAAAATAATTTCAATGGTTAAAAAATATGAAAGGAGTACTGAAAACGCAAAACCTATGTCTATAAGACTATCATAACTAAAATAAATTCAAA